GAGAAGCTGATGAACACATTGACTCTAGTGGTCCGGCCTGGCTCAGGTCTTCTCAGGTTGCGGTAAAGTGCTAATGCATTGGCAGTCACGCACGAACGTCGTCAACCTGTCGCGTGATCGGACACTTATGTTCCCGCGCAGGGGGAACAACGACAAACCCCCGTTCGACGGGTCCACGAGAGGCACTCTGCGGGCTCATCCCGGGCTCTCACTAGGAGAGACACACTTATAGAAATGCGTACTGATGTGAATGCAGTGCCACACGCCGGCCTAGGTTACCATTCCTAAGAGTACAGGTGAGAAACCTGAAAAGAAGTGGAGGTCCATCAATGTTCAAAGGCCATCAAAACCAGCAGGGGGCTTATGCCAAAGTTAATTGCGAAGACTTGACGAATTATTGAATTCCAAGTTGGCTCATGCCTGTACGTGACCGCAGCGGTCAAAGGTGGCAGCCAAAGCTTGTTCAAGGTTCATTGGAACCTGTCGGACTCTTAGGTGCACATACATCGTATACACTTTAACGAGGCAGGTCTTCCTAGGTCGTTGTAATGAGGTTTGGTTTCATCGGTTCCCGTCCCCTCCATTTGGTTCCTTTTTCACCCTTTCCCCTTCACACACGTTTTTTCTCTTTCTTTTCATGTCTTCCCTTGCTTCATGTCCTTTCATCTCACTCCTTTCGTTCTTTTGCGCGTACAACGGTCCGGGCCTTAGTGTGTACGCGCACATTTACTTTTAACTCAGGTGTTAGGTCGCCCAGGTTTCGACAATGAGGTGGGTTTCATCGGTTGTCCCTGTGCACTTGGTTTCTCTTTCATCAGAACCACACACACTTTTGTCCCGTCTCGTTTTCCTTCTCACGTCTTCATCCTTTTGTCTTTGCTGCGCGCACACTTGCACATTCGTCCCAGCCCTAATTTTTGCCTCGCCTTGGGGAGGCGTGTGTGTGTGCCCCTTGTAATCACAGGGGTCCGTTTGGATTGTACTTTTGACTCCGTTGTCATTTTTTTGAGCAGAGGAGCGGTGGGCATTCTTGAAGTCACCGCTCAACGAAGACACTTCAAGTTTGCTGTGATATGCAATCTGGACGCAGATTGCACGTACCTGCGAGAAGCTGATGAACACATTGACTCTAGTGGTCCGGCCTGGCTCAGGCTGTTTGCAGGTCTTCTCAGGTTGCGGTAAAGCGCAAATGCATTGGTAGTCACGCACGAACGTCGTCAACCTGTCGCGTGATCGTTGGAGCTTTTGGTTTTGATGGCCTTTGAACATTGATGGACCTCCACTTCTTTTCAGGTTTCTCACCTGTACTCTTAGGAATGGTAACCTAGGCCGGCGTGTGGCACCGCATTCACATCAGTACGCTTTTCTATAAGTGTGTGTGCATGTATCTCAGTAGGACATCGATCACCACGATTCTGTAAGTCAGCTGCGCAGCACTTCCACCTCCAAGAATGCTGTACATTGACCTGCCCAAAATGAGCTGGTGAAAAACCTCCTCCACCCCACCCCGCACCGCGATGTCAAAGAGCTCGCCGTCCACCGGAAAGCCTCCAAGAGACAGTGGTGATTGGGAAAAGCTGTCACAATTGAGCCGTAAGTCATGCAGAAAAACGCATCACTTCCCAGCAGGCGCAGCAGCCACATGAACCAATCAGGGGGGGAGTGGGTGCGCAGCAGTCAGGAGTCAGGAGCCCTTGGAAATCGGAACACCACTTGGCGCGGCAACACAGAGTCTGTGCCTGCCTGAGGTTATATGAGGAGAAAGTGTCAAGCTCCAGGTCAATGAAGTGTGGCGCAGGACTAAATCATACACTGTCAAATCTGTTCAATCATCTATATCTACCCAAGTCTGAAGGTCAAATACACACAAATGAATCGGCCGGCAAGCAAGAGTACGGCACTCCTTCTCCACCTAAGGCCACTGAATCATCCCACCTTGCTGCGCATTTGCTTGAAAGAGCTCCAAGAATGTTCGCCAAACGTCCAGGTCTTTGCAGCTGAAGGCATTTGGAATCGGCACACTGCACCTGGTGGAGCTGTTTGGTCAGGCGCAGAACGAAGACAAGGGGGCCAAGCACTACTCTTTCCTTTATTACTCCAGGTGCACTTCTGGTAGCCTTGAAAACTCCACATGCGTCTTTGAGCTTGAGAAGGGACGCGCCGTGCCTACAGGTTTTTGATTTCACGTTCCGTTGACTGCCTAGCGCCGTAGTAAACACCGTGCCGCCGCTCCGCCTGCCCGACCTGGGGTCGACGCCCTCGACCTGGGCCCAAGCTCCGTCGACCGGTCGGTGGCGACCGGTCGGCGGAGACCGGAGAAAAGGCATTGGACGGACCTCTGTAGACCTCTGAAACTCTAGCTTGCTTTCATATGCATGCTCTCAGACCAACCGCTTGGACCTGACATCTCGACCCGACTGTCGACTCTACTCTCGATCTTGATGAATCAAATCATCGAAGAAGTTGTTCAATCCCAAAATGGGAGGGGAGGGTGGTTGATCAGGACCCCACATGAATCCTGCCTGAACAGTCTGAATGGGAGTGTTCAGACGCTTGTCCGTTGGAGGCCGATATATCTTCATGGGGCCTGGCGCTGGTTGTCCGAACGAAATGAGCCACCTTCCTCACCGACATGGCGTGGCATGGTCCCAGGGGATCTGTGCGGCAAAAGGTCCTCCTTAGCTAAGAATCCACTAATCCTCTGGCTGAAAGAATTTTTTCAACTGGCCACCTCACTGTTGTCATCTTTCCTTTAGTTTAGTTCCTTTTCACAAGCCCAACGTATGTCCCAGCTGGCCATTGCAAAGAACAGGCTAGCTAGATCACGTTGTCAAGTACATGAGGGCATTCTCTTTCCACTTGATGAACTGATCCCAAACCAGATGAGATTCCGCACGTCCATACCCGAACCTCGCTCACATGTTCCAGCTCTCGCCAGCAATTTTTGTTCGGCCCCGGACTAGGACGATGGCCAGGATGGCCAGCAGCATCGGGCAACGGCCCAGCCATGGCAAAGGCGACCAAGTCAGAGCTGTGAAGAAAAGCCAACTCAATCTAAATAGACGACGAGTGGCCCGAAAAAAGCATTTTTCATCACGTAGGAAGTCAGAGTGTGAGTTATCTGTTAAGCGTTCAGTGTGAAGTGTTTAAGTCGAGTGTGTGGGTCCCTGTCTGTATCTATGTCCGTGTGTATATGAGTCTCTGTATATGTGTGTGTGTGCGCCTGTCCGAGTAAGTTGAGGCAGTGCGGGGGTCTCTGTGTGTGATGTGTGTATATGAGTCCCAGTCTGTCTGTGTGTCCATGTCTGCTGCTGGTGAAGGTCTTCACTGCTGCTGGTGAAGGTCTTCACTGTACTACAAAGTCGCCACTTCTCAGCTTCCAGCTCCACAGATTGCTCCGCGTACTACAGTTGTACTACAAAGTTGCCGGTTCTCATCTTCCAGCTCCCCAAATACTCCGCGCACTACAGTTGTACTACAACTTCGCCAGTTCTCATCTTCCAGCTCCCCAGCGACTCCGCGTACTAAAGTTGTACTACAAAGTCGCCAGTTCTCAGCTTCCAGCTCCACAGATTGCTCCGCGTACTAAAGTTGTACTAGAAAGTCGCCAGTTCTCATCTTCCAGCTCCCCAGAGACTCCGCGTACTCAAGTTGTACTCCAAGGTCGCCAGTTCTCAGCTTCCAGTTCCACAGATTGCTCCGCGTACAACAGTACTACAAAGTCGCCAGTTTTCATCTTCCAGCTCCCCACAGATACTCCGCATACTAAAGTTGTACTACAAAGTCGCCAGTTCTCATCTTCCAGCTCCCCAGGTACTCCGCGTACTAAAATACTAAACTTGGACTACAAAGTCGCCAGTTCTCAGCTTCCAGCTCCACAGATACTCCGCGTACTAACGACGTACTAGAAAGTCGCCAGTGCCTGCATTTCGCACACTCGACACGCACGATCTCCGCAGAGGGTTGCGCGCGGGCAGGACAAATCGCACTCTCGCCTGCATTTCGCGTACTCGACACGCACGATCTCCGCAGAGGGTTGCGGGCGGACCGCACCAATCGCACTCGCGCCTGCATTTCGCGCACTCGACACGCACGATCTCCGCAGAGGGTTG